CTAAGCATGTGCTCTACCACTGAGCTATACCCTCCCCCCATATGCACTTTTCAAATACTAGAAATTACATTATGTACTAAAGTCAAGTCATAGTAAAAAAAAAAGAGCACAGACAGCACCTCAAAACATACCTAATTTTGAAAGTATTTAGAAAATATTAACTATTGTCACTATTTTAAAAGCAGTTATGCAAGGCTGTCTCCACTGTGTGGCAGCTACATGAGCCGCATGATACTGGCGAGTCATTGTCTCTCTCTGGGCCTCAGTTTTCTTTTTGGTAAAGTGGGGTATTCCTAAGTTCCCGTCCAGCTGTATCAGTCCTATAGCTTCTAAAACACTTGTAGAAGACCATAGCTTTCGCTTCTCTCATCGTTCCAGAGGATGGAGTAGTGTCAGCAGAATACTGCCCTTCTGGCATTTGTGCATCTGCAGTGTAGGTACTGGCTCAGAAGATGAACCATCAGGGATGCTGGAAGGTTTCCGACCTTGGGGAGGGGGGAGGTCATGTTACCCTTCTGAAAAACTGAGTTAGAGAAGGATCCTGGACCCCACCACTACGCCGCCCTCCCCGCCGCAGCCTCTTGCTGAGGCTGTAGAATGAATGGGCATTAACTAGTGATAGAAGCTCATGACTGAAACAGGGGTGAGTCATCCCCAAACAGGTCAAAACCAAGAACAAAATCATTTTCCCTTTTAGTGCTAAGGGTTGGTTGTTCACTTCTTGTGAGAGGCAGTCAAGCTGATGGGGCGTGTTGCTTTATCCTTCCGTGTTTGGCTAATCAGCACATCTTTGGAATGAGACACTGAAAGTTTTGAGTCAAATTTGATAGGGGTAAATGTCAAGTCCTGGGTCTAGCTTTTATAGGCCAAGTCCAGAAGTTCAGGAGAGGGGAGACATAACAGCAGTTCATTTGACAAAGAACTGGAAACTTGAGTCATAGACCTCGAAGAATCCGGAATGTTAATGTCATCTCCCTGCAGCGAGGAACTATTTCCAGCATGATGGGCAGCAGTTAGCTAACAGCTGAGACTGCCCGGCTAGGAAGGAAGTGATCATGTTCAAATGATCAGCGGTCAGTAGTAATGTGAATGTTTTCAGCCTGTTGAAGGGCTGTGACATAAAAGATGGATTCGTTGTCTCATTCTGTATAATACGAATGAGTGTCCTAGGACTGGATCAAAGCTACTGGGGTAAAAGTCTCCGAGAAGTGAATCCTGGCTCAATAAAAATGAAGAGCTTTTAAAGAACTGGAGTTTTTCAAAAGTGGAATGGCTAGTTCTGTGAGTTAGTGCCTTGTCACTAAAATTACTCAAGAATGGCAGGATGACTCCCTGTTGGGTGTTCCATCAAATGTATTTTGCTACTGCATTAGGCATTTGGCTGGATTAAATCCAACTTTCCTTATAACCTTACTATTCTAGCATTCCATAAAGTTCTCCGTAATGTATTTGGAGGTCCAAATGCCATAGTTTGGGGGTTGAAATTAAGCATCTCTTTGTTTTGATGTTCTTAGTTTACTGCACCCTAAATCCCGTGGGTTTGGATATTCTTTAGTATCCATTGCAAGGGAATGTCTCTGCAAGACTCGTGCCCTAAGACGTTCCTTGTCTGTCACACACATTTTCTAAAATGGTTATTTTCAATAGCTGCCTCTAGGTACTTTTAAATTATATGTCACAGTCTCTGTTTTATTATATCTTCGAGTTATAACACCGCTTAAATGGGTTCTTAAAAATGGACCATTTTTATGATACCTTATTTAGGTTCTTTATTGGGGTCTTTGAAAATATTTCATTTATTGAAAAGGGAAATAAAACCCCTAACTGGTGCCGGGCTTTGTGTGCAGCTGGGAGCCCTCTCTTCGCATGACCCCGGACCAGGCCCTCAAGCATGCGTGGATTCACGAGCCGTGGAACCGCAAATCACGGCCCAGGCTCCAGACCTTGAGGAGAACCAGTCTCTGTTTCCCCTCTGAGTCCAGAAAGGATAAGATTCAAGGTCAACATCACTCGGGCAAAAAAGGTACAGCCCCTCAAATAGCCAGTCCTGTTTCCATGATCCAGGGAGCCCGGCATCTCTGGAGGTCTGCGTGTCAACCTCTCTCAGCTCCGTCTTGGTTACTTACTCTGACCACATCACTGCCACTCTTATCATTAGGATCTTCCGTTTTTCTCCTACCTTCAACTCCCTTTCTGCTTTCCTTTTCTTTCAGTGTGTCTTTCTTTGCGTGCCCTATAATTACCTTTTGATTGTTTATCATACACATCATGGAATTATGCACATATTTCTCATATGCAACATACTGCCTTGTGGTTGTGTCCTGGGGCAGTGGAGTCAGGTTGTCTGGGATTAAATCCTGGCCCTACCACTTACCAGGTGCGGGCCCTTGGGCAATTTGCTTAACTTCTCTATGCCTCGGTTTCTATGTGTGAGAATGAAAATAGTGCCTATTCTCTCTGGTTGCAGGAAGGATCAAAGGAATTAGCAAATGTAAAGTGCTTAGAATAATGCCTGGCACACAGAATGTGCTTTCCAAATGAATTGTTTCTGTATCATCACAACCAGGATTTCCCCAAAGTGACTGACAGCCTGGTGGACGGGAGGTAACTCACACTTGAACACTTGTTCTTCTGTCTTCTCTTTGGCAGATGTGATCATCAAAGCAGAGAATAAAGACAAAGTTAAAGATATCTCCACGAAACAGAATCAGAATTCAGGTAATGAGCTGGGCTCCCTCCAGCACACAGCTGAAGTTGTCCAGCTGCCTCAGCTAACAGAAGCTTCCAGAAAGACAGAGGCGGTTGTTGGGCCAGTAGAGTCTAAGACCTCCACAGGACAGCAAAACAAAAACTCCTCCCTCAAGAGCACAAGCATCTTACCACCTATTGTGTGACCGGCGCGGAGGGTGTGTCCCGTTCTTGTCCGCCGGTGATCTGTATTGGAGACGGCCCTTATATTGTACAATACTTAACACTGTTGTTTTTTAATGCATAAAGGTTTGTTAAAAAAAAAAACACCAAAACCTCTACTCACATGGCCGATTGGCATGACTCCTGTCATGAGGGGTTGGAGGGGGTGTCCTGGTGCCCACACTCCCTCCCGATGTCCTCAACCAAGTAAATCAGAGGGTGCGTGTGCGTGGCGGTGCGTGGGTGGGGCGGGGAGAGTGCTAAGTGCTCAGCGTCACAGCATCACTCGTAGAACGCTACATAATAATTTTTTTCCTTCTTGCCCAAGATAGTTCACGTATGCTACTCAGGGTTCTTGTTTG